GCGGGAGCGGCGGGGGAGCGGCGGGGGGCGGGAGGAGCCGCGGGAATGAACGGGGGGAGAGGGAGGAGGAGCTGCGGGAAAACGGGGGGAGAGGGGCGGGAGGAGCTGCGGGAATAACGGGGGGAGAGGGAGGAGCCGGGAGGGGCGGGGGCGGCCGGAGGGAGGGAGGGAGTTGTGGGATCGGATGGGGTGGGGTGGGATGGGATGGGATGGGATGAGGGGCGGTCCAGGGGGTCCAGAGAAGGAGGGGTCTGGGGGTGTGGGATGGGATTGGGGGAGTTCTGGGAATGGGGGTGGGATTGGGAGGGAATGGGGAGGGGTCCTGGGTGGGCGGGGGGGAATCTCCTGAGGGGAGGGAAAAAGGGAAGGGAAGGGAAGGGAAGGGAAGGGAAGGGAAGGGAAGGCGCTTTGGGATGGGGGGGATCAGCTGGGGCAGGGAGGGGCAGAAAGGGGTCAGTAGGATCGGGGGAGGACAGGGGCATCTATAGGGACAGGGGGTCAGTAGGGTCTACAGCACATCACGGGTTTTATGGTGGGGTCAGGGAGTCTATAGGAGGGGTCGAGGGTCTAAAGTGGGGCCAGAGGGTTTATAGGGTGGCCAGGGGCTCCATAGGGTGGTCGGGGGTTCTGTAGTGGGGCAGGGCGGTATATAGGGTGGTCAGGGGGTCCATAGGGGGTTCAGGGGGTCCATGGGGTGGGCGGGGCTCTGTAGGGGCGGTGACAGGGCCTGGGCGGAGCTGTCCGTGGTGCTGAACGCGGGAGAGGGGAACAGGGGCCACATGGGGGGCAGAGGGGCTATAGGGGGATAGGGGGGTCTATAGGGGATCCCGAAGCTCTGTAGGGATGCTGAGGGATCCATTAGGGGCTCGGGGGGTCTGTGGGGTCGGTAAGAGGGGACAGGAGCCGTGTGGGGACTGGGAGCACAGCTCAGTGGGTCAGGGGTCTATAGGGGATCGGGGGTCTATAGGGAATCCGGGGGGTCTATAGGGGACCGGGGGGTCTATAACGGGTCAGGGCTCTATAGGGGATCGGGCCCTGTGGGGCGCTCTATAGGGTCGCTCTGTAGGGTCGCTGAGCGGGTCGGGCGCCGCGCAGGGCCCGCGAGCGGAGCTGTCCCTGGTGCTGACAGCGGGACAGGACAGCGGCCGCCGCTGGGGGCCGCAGGGGACACCAGGGAGCGGCCTGGGGACACCAGGGACGGTCCCAGTTCGGGCGGCGGGCGATGGGACCCCCGCACTGCCCCCCGTGGGATGTGGGGTCCCTCAGTGCCACCCCTGTGTCCCCCATTCCCTCAGTGTCTCCGTGTCCCCCAATTCCCTCAGTGTCCCCCATGTTCCCCAGTTCCCTCAGTGTCCCCACACCCTCGGTGTCCCCCATGTCCCCAAGCGAGGCCGAGGCCACTCTGGTGCCACCACAGGGCCCAGGGGAGACCCAGGGCACCCCAACCCCTCCCAGGACCCACTCCTGCCTGTGCCCCTTCCCAAAATTCCCATCCATCCCAACATCCCCATTCCCATCCATCCATCATCCATCCATCCATCCATCCATCCATCCATCATCCATCAATCCATTCATCCATCCATCCGTCCATCCATCCATCATCCATCCATCCATCCATCCATCAATCCATCCATCCATCCATCCATCCATCCATCATCCATCAATCCATTCATCCATCCATCCGTCCATCCATCCATCCATCCATCCATCCCTCCCTCCCTCATCCATCCATCCATCATCCATCCATCCATCCATCCATCATCCATCCATCCGTCCATCCATCCATCCGTCCATCCCTCATCCATCCATCCATCATCCATCCATCCATCCATCCATCCATCAATCCATTCATCCATCCATCCTTCCCTCATCCATCCATCCATCATCCATCCATCCATCCATCATCCATCCATCCATCCATCCATCCATCAATCCATTCATCCATCCATCCATCCATCCATCCATCCATCCATCATCCAGCCATCCATCATCCATCCATCCATCCATCATCCATCCATCCATCATCCATCCATCCATCCAAACACTTCCATCCCCATGCATCCCAACACCCCCATTCCCAGTTTCCAACCCAACATTCCCAGTTTTCACCCCTTTCCCACTCCCATCTTCACCCCAACGTTCCCATTCCCATCCTTGTTCCTTTGGGATTTTGGGACACGGCCCCACCCCAGCAGGGATTTGGGGTTCCAGGAGCTCTCCCCGGGGTGTTTGACTCCCATTCCACAAGGAAAACATTCCCTAAAAACCGAGCAGGACCTTCCCAAGCCCAGGGATTCCCAAACTCCCAGCGGGAATTGTGGCTTTAAGGGACTTCAAGGATTTCCAAGGATAAGCTGGGATCGATGCTTCTTTGGGATCCTGCTCTGGATGTTCCGGATTCCTCTGGCCCCTGCCGAGGCCTGCCCACCTTTCCACGGAGAATGATCCCAAACATCCCCATTGGCCCAGGCTGAGACTGCTCCCTCTTTTCCCAGGGCTCATTCCCTGGATAACTGGGATGTGCTGGGAATTCTCATGGGCGTGTGAACACAGAATTCCCAGATTATTGAGGCTGGGAAAGAATTCCAGGGTCAGTGAGTCCAAGCTGGGCCCGATCCCCACCAGAGCCCCGAGTGCCACCTCCAGGAATTCCTTGGACACCTCCAGGGATGGTGACTCCAAAGCTCCCTGGGCAGGCCCTGCCAAGGCCTGACCCCTTTCCACGGAAAACGATCCCAAATCCGGGAGCTGGGCCTGCCCTGGCCCAGGCTGAGGCCGCTCCCTCTGTTCCCGGGGCTCATTCCCTGGAGCAGATCCCGATCCCCGCTGGCTCCTGGCAGGAGCTGGGCAGGCCCAGAAGGACATTCCCGATCCCGGCCCCGATCCCAGCGGAGCTGCCCCGGCCCCCAGCCCGGGGCACATCCCACTTTTCCCGGGCTCTGCCTGCACGGATCCCTGGGGGGCTCGGGGGCCCTTCCCGAGGCACTGCCGGCATTCCATGGGCAAGGATTCCACAATTCCCCAATCCTGGTGGGCCCTGCCTGGGAGGGACCTCAAAGCCCATCCCGAGGATCCCCCGGGATCCAGGAGATCCCACGGGCACAGCCCAGGAAGTTTTCCAAGCATTTCCATTCCCAGGATCCATGAATTACACCCTGGGCTGATCCCAAACCTTTGGCTCCCAGAATGGATCCTGGGGATCCACCTGGATCCGCCACAGCTCTGAAAAATGGGAGAAATTCCCGCTGGGACAATCCAGCCTGAGGAAAATCCACCCATTCAATCCTTCCCACCCTCCTTAACCCAAGTTTTCCCCTTTCCCTCTCACTCCCAGCTGAGTCCTTCCCACGGAGCCGCGGCGTCTCCTCATCCCCAAATCCCCAAATCCCCAAATCCTGACCCCTCTCCACATCCAACCCCCGCCACTTCCCACCCCAACATGGAATATCAGCTCCTGGAGCAGCAGCTGGAGCAGCTGGAACTGAGATTCTACCAAAAAAAAAAAAAAGGAATTTCCCTTTGGGAAAAGCCAAAGCTGGGAAATCCCAGAGCTGGGAGCACCCAGCAAGGCCCAGCCGCGAGCCCAGCCCAGGCCTGATGGAAATCGGGAAGCAAAGGGAAATCCCTCGGGAATGAGGGAGCCCCAGGGTGGCCCAGGGCTTCCAGAAGCTTCCCTGAGAATCCCGGGATGAGCCAGAGCCCGTCCTGAAGGAGCCCCGGAGCCGCCTCTGCTCCAGGCTGAGCCCAAACCCCAAATCCAGCTGGAGTTTTCCAGCTCAAATCCCAAACCCCTCCGGAGTTTTTCAGCCCAAATCCGTAATCCCTCTGGATTTTACAGCCCAAATCCCAAACCACTCTGGAGTTTTCCAGACCTTTCCCCAATCCCTCCGGTGTTTTCCAGCTCAAATCCCAAATCCCTCTGGAGTTTTCCCAAATCCCTCTGGAATTTTCCAGCCCAAATCCCAAACCCTTCCAGAGTTTTCCAGCCCAAATCCCAAACCCCTCTGGAGTTTTCCAGTCCCCTCCCAAATCCCTTTGGAATTTTCCAGCCCTATTTCCTTCCTGGCCCCGTTCCAGCCCCTCCAGGGCTCTCCAGGATTCCGGCTGGCGCCTCACCGGGGCAACCTTTGGAAAATTTGGGAAAACTCCTCATGGAAAATGTTTGGGATCGCCATCCCCACAGGGGTTTCCAGCCCCATAGATGTGACACTTGGGGACACGGAGGGTGGCCTTGCCCTGCTGGATCGATCCCAGGGGATTTTCCAGCCTCAGTTCCCCCCCCCACGGGCAGGCCGGGGTGGCAGCAGCAGCAGCTGGCACAGATGTCACCACCCCCCGTCACCCATCTGTCACCCTCAACCCCCTCCTGGCACTTCCCGAGGCTCCGGACATAATCCAGGATCGGGGCCGGGCATCGCTGCCACCCCTGAGCCCGGAATGTCACATGGGGGGGACAGGGTGACCCCAGGAACGGGCACAGCTGGACACAGACACGGGGTGGGCACGGAGTTTATTGGTGACCCTGGGCAGGGGGACACGGTGGCCATGGGGAGGGGGACACAGTGACCATGGGCAGGGGGACACGGTGGCCATGGCGGGGACAGGGTGACCATGGGGGAACACAGCGACCATGGGGGGACAGGGTTGGGTTTCCAGGGGGAGTTTGGGGCTGGGGGTGTCTGTGGGGTGGGCACAGGATGTCCGTGGGGTGGGACAGGGCAGGAGGTGTCTGTGGGGTGGGTATGGGGTTTCTAGGGAGCATTATGGGGCTGGAAGTGACTGTGAGCAGGGCACAGGGTGTACTATGGAGTGGAACAGGGCACAGGGTGTTTATGGGGTTGAGCACAGGGTGTCTATGGGGTGGGCACAGGGTGTCTATGGGGGATACAGGGTGTTTTTGGGGTGGGACAAGGCACAGTGTGTTTATAGGGTGGCACAGTGTGTTTATAGGGTGACCACAGGGTGTTTATAGGATGGGACAAGGCACAGCGTGTCACAGCGTGTTTACAGGGTGGGCACAGCCACCAGGTGCCCCTGCCCTCAGCCCCGCTGTCCCTGGCCGGCCAGGGGCTGCTCAGGGGGTGTCCCCGTTGTCCCCCTGTGCCAGCAGCAGATCCAGGTAGGCCCCAGAGATGAGGTCCTGCTCCCCGATCCCGAATTCCTGCAGCAGCTCCAGTGCCACGCGCTGCCCGTCCTCCTCGCTCTGCTCCGGCCGCAGCACCACCTGCGGCCACCCCACGGTCACCCAGGGTCACCAGGGTCACTCGGGGTCACCCGGGACACCACCCCCCCCCGTCCCCTCACCTCCAGCTCCAGGAAGTCCCCGAGCCCCTGCACCCGGTCCAGGTGCAGCCGGGTCTGGCCCAGCAGGAACAGGAGCCGCTCCTTCCTCACCGTGCCCAGCACGCCCAGGGACTGCGACAGCACCGCCTGGGGACACCAGGGGGGACTGGGGTGACGGGGGGGGGACAGGGATGGCACAGGGACCCTACAGTGCCCAGGCACTAGGACAGCACCACCTGGGGACACAGGGGGTTACAGGGGTGGCACAGCGGCTGACAAGGTGGCACAGTGGGTGACAGGGATGGCACAAGGGTTTACAGGGATGGCACAGGGGTGACAAGGTGTCACACACAGGGGCGCCCCCAGCCCCGCTCACCTGCAGCCCCTCGGGGTCGGCCGTGGGGGTGATGCTGAACTTGGACAGTTTGGGGCCGGCGCTGTCGGGGCGCTCGTAGAAAATCAGCTCCCCCCGGCCATCCTGGGGACAGCCACAGGTGGGGACAGGTGAGGGACAGGGCCAGGTGAGCACGGGGACAGGTGAGCACAGGGCCAGGGCCAAGCCCCTCCTGCCACCCCTCACCTGTGTCCGGCGCAGCTTGAGCCGCCCCCGCGGCACCCGGAAGAACGTGTCGGTCTGGAGCAGCACCTGCCCGGCCCCGGGGCACACCTTGGGCGGCTCCTGCCCTTCATCTGTGCCCGGCCCAGCCCCAGGGCACACCTGGGGCGGCTTCTGCTCCTCACCCGTGCCCGGCCCAGCCCGAGGGCACACCTGGGGCGCTCCCTGCCCGGCCCCGGGGCACACCTGGGGCGCTCCCTGCCCTGCCCCGGGGCACACCGGGCACACCGGGCCCAGCCCCCGCAGCCTCAGGGCCGCCCTCAGCGCTTCCTCCCGCGCCCTCAGCCGCGCCTTCACCTCCACGTTCCGCCGCATCCCGCCGAGCGCGCCCATTGACTGTCGCGCACGCACCACCTCCCCGAGGCGTCTTTCTATTGGTCGATTACACCGTCAATCAGCTAATCGCGTTGTTATTGGTTAGAGGCTGCCCGGGCGCTGCCCCGGCAGAGAGGGACGGGGCAGGGGCGACCATGGCGGCGGCGGCGGGGGGCCAGGGCTGCTGCAGCGAGGACGGCGATGTCCCCGCCGCCACCCGGCTGCAGGCCTACGCCTGGTGCCGCGAGTTCCTGTCTGGCTCCTGGAAGCTCATCGGCCCGGACGAGTTCGGCATCTGGCCCATCGGGTAGGAAGCGGAACGGGCGAGAGGCGTTCCCCCCCCCCGCCCTCTCCGCGGTGGTCTCGTCCCGGGGTTTAGGGAAGCGTCCCTCCCAGCGGCCCCGGTTACCCCAGCGCGGTGTCCGTGTCCCCTCACAGCGTCCCCTCACAGCGTCCCCTCACAATGGCCCTCCCAGCCGCCCCTGCTGCCCCCGGAGCGCTGTCCCTGTCCCCTCACAGTGGCCCCGGTTGTCCCCCGGAGCGGTGTGCCCGTCCCCTCCCAGCGGCCCCAGTTACCCTGGAGCGGTGTTCGTGTCCCCTCACAGCGTCCCCTCACAGCGTCCCCTCACAATGGCCCTCCCAGCTGCTCCCGCTGCCCCCGGAGCGGTGTGCCTGTCCCCTCCTAGTGGCCCCGGTTGCCCTCGGAGCGTTGTCCCTGTTCCCGGTGTCCCCTAGTTGCCCCCGTGACCAGTAGCCCGGTACCCCTCGGACTGGTGTCCCCAATTACCCTCCGGACCAGTGTCCCCGTCCCTTCCCCGACCCTTGTCCCAGTCCCTCTCCCAGTGTCCCCAGCTGCCCCACCCTGAAGCAGCATCCCCATCCCCCAGTGTCCCCAGCTGCCCTCGGCGCCGTGTCCCAGTGTCGCCTCCCAGTCTCGCCCTAGACCAGCATCCCTGTCCCCCGGTTGTCCCCATGGACTGGTGTCCTAGTCCCTCTCCCAGTTGCCCCCAGTTTCCCCCTGGACCCGTACCCCAGTGCCTCTTCCAGTGTCCCCAAGCATTGTCCCTAGGGACGGGGAGGGACAGACCCCCACGTGCTGTGCGGGTGGATCCCTGTCCCCAATGTCCCCTCATGTCCCCAATGTCCCCAAAGTCCCTGTCCCACAGAGGGGGGCTCAGTAACCTGCTGTACAAGTGTGCGCTGCCCGGGGTGTCCCCCTGGTGTCCTCAATGTCCCCAATGTCCCTGTCCCACAGAGGGGGGCTCAGTAACCTGCTGTACAAATGTGCACTGCCCAATGTGTCCCCAATGTCCCTGTCCCACAGAGGGGGGCTCAGTAACCTGCTGTACAAGTGTGCGCTGCCCGGGGTGTCCCCCTGGTGTCCCCAATGTCCCCAATGTCCCTGTCCCACAGAGGGGGGCTCAGTAACCTGCTGTACAAGTGTGCGCTGCCCGAGCACGTGCAGAGCGTGGGGGACGAGCCCCGGCAGGTGCTGCTGCGCGTCTATGGGGCCATCCTGCAGGTGAGGGGACAGTGACACCCCATGGGGACCCCAAGGGAACCCCCCGGGATCAGGGATCCAGCTGGGGTGGGGGGTGCTGGGGTTGCGGGTTCTGGGGCCATCCTGCAGGTGGGGGCACAGCCACACCCCATGGGGACCCCCAGGACCCCAAACCCCATGAGGACCCCAAAGGAACCCCCCGGGACCCCCTGGGATTAGGATTTTGGGGTGCCTTCCCACTGGGATAGGGGGTGTTGGAGCCATCCTGTAGGTGAGGGGACAACGACACCCCAAATCCCAAGGGAACCCCCGAGACCCAAACCCCGTGGGAACCCCAAGGGACCCCCTGAGATTAGGGTTTTTGGGTGCCCTCCCTCTGGGGTGGGGGGTGCTGGGGTTTGGGGTTCCGAGGCTCCTTGGGATGCTGGGTTTGAGGTCCCGTTTTTGGGGTGCCACTTTTGGGGGTGTTGGGTTGGGGGCCCGTTTTTGGGGTGCTGGTGTTGGAGTTACTGTTTTGCTGTTTTGGTTTTGGGGTAACAGTATGGGGATCCTGGTTTTGGGGCTGCTATTTTGGGGTCCCATTTCGGAGTCCCGATTTGGGGATCCCTATTTGGTGTCCCAAATCAGGGATCCGTATTTGGGGTCCCGATTTGGGGATCCCGTCTTTGGGGTCCTGTTTTTTGGGTCCCCTTTTGGGGATCCGTTTTGGTGTCGTGTTTTTGTGGTCCCATTTTTGGGTTCTCTATTTGAGGCCCCGTTTTTGGGGATCCCATTTTGGTGTCCTGTGTTTTTGGTGTCCCAATTTGGGATCCTGTTTTTGGGGATCCCTGTTTGCTGTCCTGTGCTTTTGGTGTCCTGTGGTTTTTGTGTCCCAATTTGGGGTCCCGTGTTTGCGGATCCCATTTTGGGGGTCCCATGTTTTTTGTGTCCTGATTTGGGGTCCTGTTTTTAGGGATCCCTGTTTGGTGTCCTGTGTTTTTGGGGTCTCATTTTTTGGGATTCCTGTTTAGTGTCCCAGTTTGGGGTCCTGTTTTTTTGGATCCCTGTTTGGTGTCCCAATTTGGGCTCCTGTTTTTGGGGATCCCTGTTTGGTGTCCTGTGTTTTTTGTGTCCCGTTTTTGGGGATCCCATTTTGGTATCCTGTGTTTTTTGTGTCCCAATTTGGGGTCCCGTTTTTGGGGATCCCCATTTGGTGTCCCTATTTGGGGTCCTGTTTTTGGGGATCCCTGTTTGGTGTCCCGTGCTTTTGGTGTGCCAATTTTGGATCCCATTTTTGGGGATCCCATTTTAGGGTCCTGTGGTTTTTGTGTCCCAATTTGGGGTCCCGTTTTCAGGGATCCCTGTTTGATGTCCTGTGTTTTTGGTGTCCTGATTTTGGGTCCCATTTTGGTGTCCCAATTTGGGGTGCCATTTTGGGGATCCCCTTCTGGTGTCCCATTTTGGTGTCCCAATTTGCGGTACCATTTTTGGGGATCTCTGTTTGGTGTCCCAATCTGGGATCCCATTTTTGGGGCTCTCATTTTGGTATCCTATGTTTTTTGTGTCCCAATTTGGGATCCCATTTTTGGGGTTCCCTGTTTGGTGTCCTGTGTTTTTTGTGTCCCAGTTTTGGGATCCCATTTTTGGGGATCCCATTTTGATGTCCCATGTCTTTTGTGTCCCAATCTGGGGTCCCTTTTTTGGGGATCCCTGTTTGGTGTCCTGTGCTTCTGGTGTCCCAATTTGGGGTCCTGTTTTTGGGGATCCCCGCTTGGTGTCCTGTTTTTGTGGTCCCTATTTGGGGTCTCATTTTTGGGGCATCCCTGTTTGATGTCCTGTGGTTTTTTGCATCCCAATTTGGGATCCCGTTTTTGGGAGCCCATTATGGTGTCCCAATTTGTGGTCCTGTTTTTGGGGTTCCCTGTTTGGTGTCCTGTGTTTTTGGTGTCCCAACCTAGGATCCCATTTCTGGGGATTCTGTTTTGGCCTCCTGTGTTTTTGGTGTCCCAATCCGGGCTCCCATTTTCGGGGCTCCCATTTTCGGGGCTCCCATTTTTGGTGTCCCAATCCGTGTCCCCGTTTTGGGGCGCCCCTGTCCCCCTCCCTCCCGCAGGGCGTGGACTCGCTGGTGCTGGAGAGCGTCATGTTCGCCATCCTGGCCGAGCGCGCGCTGGGCCCGCGCCTCTTCGGGGTGTTCCCGCAGGGCCGCCTGGAGCAGTACCTGCCGGTAGGATCGGGGTCCCCCGCGCCCCCCGGGCCCCCCCGGGCCCCCCCAACGCCCCGTGCCCCCCCAGAGCCGGCGGCTGCGCACCGAGGAGCTGCGGGACCCGCGCGTCTCGGCCGAGATCGCCGTCACCATGGCGCGCTTCCACGGCATGGCCATGCCCTTCAACAAGGAGCCCAAGTGGCTCTTTGGGACCATGGAGGGGTGAGGGGACCTAGATTCCACTGGGAAAGGGGAGGGGGGACTGAAATCCCACTGGGAATGGGGAGGGGGACTGAAATCCCACTGGGAATGGGGAAGGGGGACTGAAATCCCACTGGGAATGGGGAGGGGGGACCAAAATCCTACTGGGAATGGGGAGGGGGGACCAAAATCCCACTGGGAGAGGGGAGGGAGGACACAAACGTCACTGGGAACAGGGAATGGGGTGAGGGCACCCAAACCCCACTGGGAACAGGGAGGGGGGACCAAAATCCTACTGGGAACAGGGATTGAGTGAGGGGACCCAATCCCACTGGGAATGGGGAGGGGGGACACAAAATCCACAAAATCCCACTGGGAACAGGGAATGGGGTGAGGGGACACAAACCCCACTGGGAATGGGGAGGGGGGACACAAAATCCCTCTGGGAATGGGGATGGGGAATGAAAATCCCACTGGGAATGGGGATGGGGTGAGGGGACTTGATCCCACTGGGAACGGGGAAGGGGGACACAAATCCTACTGGGAACAGGGAATGGAGTGAGGGGACCCAAAATCCCACTGGGAATGGGGAGGGGGACCAAAATCTACTGGGAACGGGGAATGGAGTGAAGGGACCCAAAATCCTACTGGGAACAGAGAATGGGGTGAGGGGACCTGATCCCACTGGAAGAGGGGACTGGGGACTCAAATCCTACTGGGAGTGGGAAGTGGGCACACAAATCCTACTAGGAGTGGGGTGGGACAGCTCCAAATCCCACTGGGAGTGGGGACCCAAATCCTGCTGGGAGCAGGGAATGGGGAGGGAGAGTTCCAAATCCCACTGAGAGTGGGGAATGGGGACCCAAATCCCACTGGGAGCAGGAAGTGGGGACCCCAAAATCCCACTGGGAAGAGGGAATGGGATGGGAGAGCTCCAAATCCCAGCGGGATCATGAACTTGTGAGGGGGGACCCCAAACCCCATTGGGATCAGGAGTGGGGACCCCAAATCCCATTGGGGTCAGGGAGTGGGGACCCCAAATCCCATTGGGATCAGGGAGTGGGGACCCCAAACCCCATTGGGGTCAGGGAGTGGGGACCCCAAATCCCATTG